TGTCTTCGTGTGTTGAGACCCTTGATGCTCGTTATAAAAGAAATCAAAGACGAATGCAGAATTAAGAATCGAAATCACAGCACTATGAATATTTCCATAAGCTCTCAGTCTCCATCTTCAGCAGCGAGATAATAGCTCCAGTTCCACCAGTAACTGTCTGATTGTATATCAGTTTCGCCTTTCCATTGAGTGTTGTATGGCGACTATATCCACTGGACACTCCTCACAATGCCATTCTCCTCAGACAGTGATGATCTATTTGTGCCTCTGCACTGTTCACTCTCTCTCAAAGGACCCTTATAACATCTAGCTTGTCATACATCAATTCACCACCAAGTGGTGCAGAACTAGCCAGTTTATCCCGATGTTCGTTTCCCAACACTTGGTGTGACCTCGAAAAAAATACCAAAAGGACGCACGGAGCATACATGTTTCATCTTTCTCAACATGCTGTGTGAGTCGGTTACAATTACGACAAGTGTATACGGCTGGTTCTCACGCTAGCGGAAGGCGGCAATGACTGTCTCCACCTCCATTCTAAAACTAGACGTTGTATCATATGCTTTGTTGCATTAGCGACGTCCATTCGCTTTTGTTGTGATTTTTTTTTTCGCGAAGCAAGCTAAACCAAGCAAGAAGAAGAAGAAGATGAGGAGAAGGACGAGGAAAAGGAGGTGAAAAGAAAAGAGAAAAATAAAAATAAGAGAACGTTTATATCTGCCATTTCATATTTTCCGGCTGCCAAAAGCGCCCTGTGCAGCCCGTAAGAGGGGAGACAACTGTGGGTGTATCGATCGTTGACGTCAACAACATCAACTCAAGTCTGCTGGCTGTCTGGCTGCAGGGAAGGAGCTTGACTGTGAGTAATGAGAGAAAGGACACCCCGCAACCTCTGCCTGTTTCATAATACACAGTTTGTGTTGCTTATTGTGAGTATTTGTTCATCTGTTGTTATAGCTGCATTACCAGTAGGTTTATAAATTATCACCCGGTGCAGTTTTATATTTCAGAAAAGCAGAAATATGATGGGAAGTAGTCTTAGATGGTATTTTGTTTTTATGCTCCACGTTCATGTCAACAGTAATATCCTATCCATGGTTTGTGTTTTATGCAATAGGGTTACATTATCATAAGATTTTATTGCGCCCCTATTATACAATGTTTGTCCATTTTATGTTTGTTATACAGTTTATTCATAGAGATATACGCCATTGTTAACCGTTTATGTTTATGTAATTAGTTATAGTGATAGTTGTGAAGTGTTACAAATCTAATAAGGAGTGGTAAGTATTTGAGAATCATTATGTTAATAATTTAGGTAAACAGTAGGTTTGGTCGGTATATATATAAATAGTATGTTCAGTAGTATTGCCGGTTCTCCGTTATAGTTGGTTAATGAAAATTAATGTAATTAAAATAGGTAAAAAAATTAATTAGACATCTGTAATTCGTTTATTAATAAAGATCTGATAATATTAATAATAGCTGTTTTAGCACCATAGGATTTTACATTAGAGGGCCAGGGGATGTAATGCCTGATGGCTGGAATTTTGAAATTCCAGCAGTGCAATACATTAACACAAAGCACACCACTACAACTGCTGTACAACATACACATATTATTTATCAAAGTGATCAGGAAAGTATAGGGATTAACTCTTTCAGTCCCAAGGAACGCATCATATGTTCACAGGTTCCTACCTAGAAGCCCAGAGAACCCAAGATGCGCTGATTTTACGTCTCTATTGACTACCCCTTGGGCCTCTGGGGCTAAATCCTGTGGGACTCAAAGAGTTAATACTGAAGTATCAGTCAATCCAGTGTCCTCTCCACACTGACATCCTAAGTGAAGCGCATTACAATGTCTTTGAGCCTCTTTTGCGTTATAAAGTGAACCCCATTCTCCCCAGCCATCCAACAGAAGGTTGGGATCTCAACTCCCAGTGGAAACCAGGTGGACAACACACAAGGTAAAAGAATGAGTCCACTCTCCCTCTAAAGAGATCCTGAAATTGATAATACAGGGCTAAAAAATGGATCTAAAAACCACAGTGAAACACAACTTTTGCTACTATAGATAAATATACAATGAGCTCTTTTGCTGGTGTAAATCCGGGTTGCAATCACAGAAAAGAAGAAATCTCTTTACCTAAGGTTGGCTGCAGTGGATCTCAGGCACTATCCTTGTCTCTTGCCCTTGTTATACACTCTCTAAGATGGCTGCTTTTCCCTCTGCATTTCATCTCCCACCCCCTTCCAGACTCCCCATTTGAACTTGATGTCTACTTTTTGCTGGATTGTCTTCAACTTTTCTTCCAGTATGCTTTTTAAAAGAGTGTTATGTTCTGTGTTGAAGGTTGGTCGCACAAAATTTGATAGACGGAAAAGCTGAGCCATTAAACTACCAGCATCTACTTAGTATATACCGAGGTTAACACCAGAAGTCTCTTTAAAACCTGACGCTAAAAAACTGAACAGGACTAGAGAAAAAGAAGAAAAATATGTGTCTTTTAGCAGGGTCAAAATCTGTAAAGTATTACTTTCAACTCTCCAGTTATTTCCCAATATTAGGATACCCTGCAAAAAGTAGTTGTATTAGTCTTGAAATATTACTGAACAAACAGATGACATATTAGGACAAGTTAGTAAAGTAAAATAATGTATTTCCTGCTCACTTTCATGGTGCTCAAGGAAAATTCCATAAAATATACCCTAAGCAAATTAAATATCAAAGTAAACTACATACAAACATATAAATAAAATGTAAATATAATCTGCAATAATTATTTTAGTGGAAATTAAAAAAAAAAACTTGCAGAAGGTGTGCTGTCAAGAAATCTTTGGTGGGGTTAAGGGGAAAACAAGAGGTGGGGGGGGGGGGGGGGGGGGGGTTAGAACCCCTATAAAATACCCCTAGTGGCTCAAGACATTGGTCTTGTTTAAGTGGTAATAATAATTGTTAATAATGTGCTGAATGGCAAATCAGTGCAGTAATATATTTGAAATTATATTAAATGTATAAACAAATACATTTAAAGGGGCGACTGTCCTTGTTTGAGAAGGGGGAAGGGGGAAACGGCCAAGTCTCCTTTCAAATTGTTCTAGGGCAGGGCTGTTCAGCTAAGTTTTCCCAGGGGCCAGAATAAAAAAATAATTGGGGATCCTCACAAGCCAGAGGTTTGAGCACCAGCATAGAAGTATCATTAATTCAAAACGACTGGCAAAGATCAGTGGGCCACTCGCTAGGCCTCGATGGACTAGATTTGTCCTGTGGGCCACCCCTGTTCTTGGAGGTGGGAGCTCAGCCTCATTAAGAATTATCGTTTGTGGATGAGGGGGTTGGAATTGCTCAATTTGCTGAGCCTGTAGGTTACCCGCACCTGTACATAGCACCATTACTTGGCATGAAATGTGACATCTCAAAACAATGTTAAAGGTTAAAGTCGAGAGGATCGACTTTTATTGTACCGGATTTTATTCCATATGGCTCAGTCTTTCTCTGCAAAATGGCTAGCCACCTGCCAATGCACCTGCAGAAAAATGTGCAAAGATTACACAGTTGGCCGGCATAGGCAACAGATATATAAGTAAAATATTTTCTTGCACAATGCACAAACTCGTTAGCTCAGGTGACGGTCCCCAGGAACCTCTGTAAAAATTGCACTTGTCTACTGAAGGGCACAGCAGTGAAATGAACCCATGACCTTCAGAGCCCAAGGCAAATGGCTTGACTACTTCAACACAGAGACCACCTGTGTGTTACTTTAATACTTTTTTTACTTTCATGTTCTTAAGTGATGAGTAGGGTAGTATTAGAAGAAACTGATAATGGAGAATATATTTTACTTATATATCTGTTGCCTATGCCGGCCAATTGTTTAATCTGTGTACATTTTTGTGGAGATACATTACTTATCAACCTTTCACTGGTTAACTGGAAATAATTTAGACATGTCTACATCCTTACTTTCTTCTCCCCGTGGGGGTTCTGTGGCCCCATTGTGGGTAAAACAAGAATAGACCCACTGCTTCTCCAACATGCATGTCATGAGAGTCGACTCATTTGAGCTTTCTTCAGAATTGGAGTGCATCTGTTGAGATGCAAGGAACTAACAATCTGCATACAATTTAGTCACATCTGTTGAACACTGAGGTGCTGGAACAAGACTAAAGTCCAGAGGTGGACAAACAACCAGAACATTCTGCTGCAGTTTACAGCAAGTGAACGCGAAGAAGAAGAAACAAGATTCTTCATTCTTGTTTTCTTTGTATACGTCAGTTGTCTGTCCGAGTTATCCTTTGCTCTGTCTTTGTTCAAAATATCAGAGAGCAAAGGATGACTGGTAAAGACCACTGTCTTTGTACAAAATGTCAGAGAGCAAAGGATGACTGGGACAGACTACTGTCTTTGAACAAAATGTCAGGGAGCAAAAGATTACTGGGACAGACTACTGTCTTTGTACAAAATGACAGAGAGCAAAGGATAACTGGGACAGAAAACTGTCTTTGTACAAAATGTGCATATAATAAAGACTGTACAGTCCCTACAGCGTGCCTGTCACACAGGACCACAAACACCTGAGCACATTCTGGAGACCTGCCCACCCTACCTGCAACTTTAAAAAGACACCTGGCCTCAAGAGCAGAGTGTACAGAGCAAGCTATGGGGAACCATGAAGAACCTGCTACTGACATGCGAGTTTATATAGGCCACCTATCTGATGGTCTGACCTGAGCATATGAAACCGACCCCAAAGAAGAGGAAGAATAACCTGAGGTCATTCAGCACCAGGAGAATTTGAACTCACAACCTTTCTCTGTCTTTTGAGAAGTAGTGAATCAATATAAGTATGTGTTGTTAGTCAGAATGCATGGAGATTTGACCCCAAGGATTTAAGCAATTGACTTGTTATTGGAAGAAATTAAATTGTTAGCTTATTTTTTTCTGTCTTATTTCAGACATCCTCAGTCTAAATTTTTCCGGCTAAAATAAAACCAGAATGGGTGCTGCTCTTCTTGTGGTAGAGATAATATGCACATGCATCCTAGCTGCTTTTTTGTTGCATCGGTACGGAGATTTAAAGAAACAACATGTGGTGGCTACAGCAGCCTGTTTTATAGCCTGGTATTTCTGTCTGATGATCATCTTTATTCTGCCCTTGGATGTGTCACTGGTAAGTTTTATTGTTTAGAGAAAAGGGTATCCTCATGACAGACTGACTGGCTTCTTCTTCTTCTTAATGTTCACCACCTGTAAACTCCAGCAAAATGTTTTGGTTGTTCGTACACTTCTTGGCTAAGATCTTGTTCCAGAACTTGAGTTTTGCATGCACATCCATTTTACAGGTTTAACCTACTTGTATGCAGATTGTTGGTTCCTTCTTCTCATGCTGATTTTGAAGGAAGCTTGCAATCTTAAAGCATACATGGTAAAGGCTATATAATCTGAAGTGATAAGCCTTTGAAGAGTGAAATTTTAAGTCTCTGAAATGTGACGTGTCAAGCTTTTGAAGTGTGACTGTTAAATCTCTGGAATTTGAAGTGGTAAATCTATAGAATGGGAACTGTTAAATCTCTAGAACATGAAGTATCAAATCTATTGAATTTGATCTCTTAGGATACAACATTTTCCACATAAGCATTTCTTGTTGCATTTCCTTCCCAAACACTTCATAGGAGTTCTAAAATCAGACACAATTTAATGAGACTGGTTCAGCTCCAAAGTTGCAATCATCAACAACAACAAAAAATGAATCCCACCTCTGATAATGATTAAACTCAGACCATAGTTTTCACAAGTGAGTGCCCCAGTGGCTCTATCATCACTATTCCTGTTATAGTATATTTATTTTTTGTTATCAGTCCACGGTGTGTGAGCTGTTCACGCCATTGTTGGGGGGGGGGGGGGGGGGGGGGGGGGGGAGAGGTAGATTCTCTGCCACCCTAACAAGCAAGTTCCTAAAAGGCAACTAGTAAGATGTGTGCTGAAATCGGGTGTGTTGGACTGAAATGCTTAGTTATCGCAACCTGGCTGTAAACCATAAGACAGCAACCGCCCTCTTAAGGTCTGTTGCAGAAGAAGAAGAATTTATCAGATCAGAATTTTTCACTTGCAGTGGATTCCGTCTCACTGTGGCATCAAAGGCAATGAAAGCGCAGATGCTTTAGCCAAGGAAGGCAGTAACAAACCACAAACCTACCAGCCACTATCTTTTCTAGAAGTCAAAACTCTCATTAAGAGAAAATCAGAAACAGATTGGAAAACCAACACTGGTTATAACTACCGAAAAGATTTTCTGAAACACTTGAACAGAACAGACCAAGTCACAGTTTTTCGCTTACGCACTGGACACTGCAGACTCAATAAACACTCACATAAATTAGGTATGAGCCAAACAGCTCTCTGCCAGTGTCTTCGTGCTGAACAGACTCCAGAACATGTCCTGCAAGACTGTCCTCTCCTGGCGGAGCTGCGGAGCGACATATGGCAACACCCAGTAGAACTGACAACTAAGCTTTGGGAAAACCTAAGAGACCTTGAAAAGACATCCCAGTTTATGACCCACAGTGGATTATGCGCATGACCAGAGATCGCTGAAGAAGAAGAGATCAGAATTTATTTTATCTGTTCACTTTGTTTTAGAGAAGACGGCTATGATTTAAGTGTTTATTTAAAGCAAAGTCACTTTAATACTTAATTTACTTTCATATTGATATTTATAATTTGGTTGTTTATTTAATCTCTGATCAGCATTTGTGGCCTATATATATATATATATATAAACCTGAATCAACATCATGGCACAAGTGCTCTATTCTATTTCTAACTTAAGCCTGAGTCCGATGAATCTTAGCGCAGTGCACAAACTCTATAGCACCAGCAGGGATCCTGAACATTTTTGGATAGATTTTTTACTCAAAATGTTGCCTGTTGTAGCCTATTGCTTATGAATGTATTGTCATAATTCTGATGTAACTGCAGGCAATTTGGCAGCAGAGACAACTTTACATAGATGTCCATAACTATATGAACCTAAAATTGTTTATAAACAAAACAATGGCATAGTACTGAACACAAATTATCTAGTAAAACTATAGTTAAATCTAGGATTGGTGCAGTGTCTTATAATGGATATGCAAACAACTTTCACTTTCTTTAATCATTCACAAATCTAGCATGTCCCTACTATGTTATGTTATCACAATGGACGTCACTGCACATTAGGCATTCTCGTGCGTGCTCAGTCCTCTGATGCAGCAGCCACTCTAAGGTACTTCTACTAATTGTTCCCATGAGAGGTTGGTTATAATGTCTCCTATCTCGGCCTCAGGGGTGGCACTAACGTGCTTTACCATGCTTTACTCCCATGTCACACAGCCGTATTAGTGTCTGAGATTCGTCACTATCCGCTAGCCCAGTCTATAGAGTGTTGATGATATCTACTTTGTCAATGCTTCTTTCGACATGCATTAGTACATTGCATGCCAGTTGGTATGGTCACTCATTACCCTGTATGCCAGCATGACCTGGTGTGAAGATCCAGGTGAAGAAGGTTGAGTGTGATTTTTTAATGCTTTCTGCCCATTCACAGCGCATACTGACTATTGCTATTTTCTGAAGCATGTTTATGGAGTCTGATACCATTACTGTATATGTGGCTGTTTGCTTTGCTGCCAATGCTGGTGCAGTAGAAGCACTTCTATCTCCTTTGTTACGTTTAACATAGTTGCCCGGTGAGCACCGCTGTCCTCTTTCATTGTTTTCCCCCATCCTTTGTGCTGTGTATGCCCAAGCTGACCTTAATCTGCTCTTTATGGACCTATCTGTGTAGATGATGATGTCTTCTGGGTGTGAATGCTGATTTATCAGTGCCCTTGCCTCTGTGTCAATGGCCAAAGGAATCTGATCTCTGCAGTACTTCCCCAGTATGGTTATAGCTTTAGAGATGCTATGTATGTCTGTTGGTGTATTGGTCCATTCTTTTCCTTGACTGATCTCATCTAGGTCACATGCCTGCTTTATTAAATCTTCAGCATTGGCCAGTCCACTGTATTGTTGTGTTTTTAATTACACACATGCATGTGCATACAGAGAGAGAGAGAGTGAGAGAGACACACACATACATAGAGAGAGAGTTATGATGTGAGTGACATTGTGCAAAGGACTGGTTCCCTGATATTGATGTGTGTTTATGTGTATGTGCATGCCTCTAGCAGAAATTTTCAGTTATTTGTCCATTTCTTAACTTTTGTCTTGTTCCAGAAATTAAGTTTTGCCTGTTTCAGTGATATGAATTATTTGTATGCACTGTTGGTTCCTCACCTCTCTGATGTACCTCTGCAGATGTACTTCAACTTTGAAGAAGGCTCCCCTAATAAAAAATGTCTGCCAGATTAAAAAAACAATCAATAATACACACACACACACACACACACACACACACACACACACACACGATATACTCCCTCCATGACCCTAGGACAGTGCATCAAACACCTAGCCTTCTCAGACAAGTGACAAACTCGAAGACCTGTGCACGCCTTGTGCAAGTTAAACGTCCGTTGTTTTTTTCAAATCATAAAGAGTAGGTTGTATATAAGCCTACACCCATGTTTTACCGGGGCCTCATGGAAAGCAAAGAATAGTAGCACTTCACCCTACCAAGTGTGTCATAAGACGCAACTAAGGGTGGAGGTGGGGTTGGCTACTTAAACCCGAAGAAAAAACCAACAAAATAGTCACATGCCATCCACCAATAAAAATGTCATAAAAAGTATGACCTTGTCTGGTGAAAGGGTCCATATCGCTGACACATCTGCTTTCTTCTAGGAAAATCCAAAACTGTGTGTAAGGTGGGAAGGCAGTAGAGGTGGTCAAAGAAATCAAACATTGAAAAGAGAGCTAGAGAATGAGGTAAAAAAAACAAAATGGGGAAGACAATAGGTGAGCTGCATGCGATAGTGAAGGATGGGATGAATTGGCCTAGGTTGGAGAAGAGCCTGTGCTTTTGGGGGGCTAAAGGGCTGAAGAAAAAAAAATTCTGAATGTGCCACAACCTCTGCTAAATTTCAGAATTAGAAAACAACTCACAGAAGTATTTATATCATTTAATTTCTATACAAGCACACATCCTTGCTGCAGAGCATACAAATAACTAGCCCTGTCCAACGTAAGCATTCATCCACAATAAAAAGAAATAAAACGCATGCCTGCTTGCATAAATGAAATGTGTACAGTTTGAAAGCATCAAGTGATGCTGTTATATTTCTTTGTGTTGGTTGATGACACTGTATTTGATGTATGCAGCAGAAGTGTTTAGAGTGTGTAACTGGAGACTTGGATACCACAAACTGTGTTCTTTACTTGTGAGATATTACAGGAATTTAATATCTCCTATTCTCTCCCTTTATCAACTCCACCCTGTCACCTCTTCCTTCTCCTTCTCCTCCTCTTCTTCCTATTTTTTCTCCTTGTTTTTTTCTTTTCTTGTCATGATTTTCTTTTTCTTTTTCCTTTTTTCATTCCCCTCTTCTTCTTCTTCTTCTGCTTCTTCTTCTTCTTTTCCTTCCTTTCTTTCTTCCTTTATTCCTTCCTTCCTTTCACCTCCTTTTCTCTTTCTTATACCTCCTTATCCTCTTTCTGTTCTTCTTTTTTGTTTCTATTTTTTTCTTCTTCTTGCTCCTCCTCCTTCTCTTCTTCTTATCTTCATTACCCTTTTACCTCCCATTGGAGCATAATTTCTCAGCAAGCTCACACCAGATCCTTTGTAAAAGTGTTCATGATTGCTGGATTTTGCTGCTAAAGATGTCTACATGATGAGGTAGCAAGTTTCATACCAACTCTGGAATTGCCCCTACTAACATGTACAGTTGCTTATCGTATGGAAGCTTATAGTGGTACAGTAGTTTAAAGTAGTACAGTATTGGCTATAGTGGTACAATATTGTGTTACAGTAGCTTATAGTGATACGGAAGCTTATAGTGATACATTAGTATGTTCTAGTGGTACAGTAGGTTATTGTAGTACAGTAGCTTATAGTGGCACAAAAGGTTATTATGGTACAATAGGTTATAGTGGTACAATAGGTTATTGTGGTGCACTATGTTATTGTGGTACAGTAGCTTATAATGGTACACTTGGTTATTGAGATATAGTAGCTTATAGTGGTACAGTAGTAGGTTATATTCGTACAGTAGGTTTTCGGGGTACAATATGTTATAGTGGTACAGTAGGTTATAGTTGTACAGTAGCTTATAGTTGTACAGTAGCTTATAGTGGTACAATAGGTTATAGTAGTACAGTTGGTTGTAAACCTTATGTGTATGGTAAACAGGGAGGAAACAAATACATTGTTTAACTGCAGATACAGCATTCTATTCCTTAATTGGTGCCTTAGTAGTTAACCTGAGTCAAGTTTTGACATCACAGCACTCAGGACATTCCCATGCATGCTCCGTCCTGATCTTCAGCAACCAGCGCAGAGTTCCAATACTAATGGTACCGCTTGTAATTTGGTTATATGTCCGTCTTGCCTTTCCTCTGAGTGTAGTGAGCTGACCAGACCCTCTGGTTACATCCAGGTGCATCATTCTCTCCAGGCCGTAATAATATTTTTTATCTTCTGACTTTGTTATTTGTTTCCAAAGGACCTTGACCACATCTGCCTTGTTGTGTGTTTGTTCACCACCCAGTGGTGCAGATCACACCAATCTGTCTGCCTGTTCATTCCCCACCACTCTGGCATATTCTGGAGAAAAGATCTAAAGTATGCTCACTACCCGTGACCTTCCCAGTGAAGCTTGCTAATCTGCTCAAAGCATCCCTCTCTTCACATTTCTCAGCATGCTTTCAGAGTCTGTTACAATTACGATATACGTATGCATCTTGTTCTCTAGCCATCATAAAGCTGCAGTGACCGCCTCCACCCCCATTCTCATGCTAGATGTTGTGGTATCATTTGCTAGGCTGTCCTGCACTAAAGATTTTCCATTGGCTTTCGCTACAAGTCCCCAGGCACTTCTATACCCTCTCTACACAGAATTGTCTACATAGATAATCAGATCATCTGGGTGAGAATAGTCGTGAATCAACTATTGGACTTCCACTGGAAGGAAAGGATAAAGTTTTAATCAAGATTACCCCAAGGAACGTCACCGCATCAAGTCTCCGTAATACTGGCCGAAGATGAAAACCCAAAACCAAAATACTGTAATATGTTTCCCATAAATATTCTTGCATCAAGGTGTATGGAACAATTGCGATCGTGGAAGGTAGCAGGAAGAGACACTCATCATTGGTCACAAAACCATTAGTACAGTGTCCTTCCAAATGACACTCAAGTTCATAGTGCCGAGGTCGCAGACAGTCTGCTTACATTAAGAATCAGAATCATTTCCAATTGTTGATTAATACAGCTATCTTCTGAAGACGATACATAGAATTTGAATGACTGTGTAATTAATTGTCTTTGAGTTTTGTATTGCTGTCTCCCATCTCATATCAATACTGTGTCGGGTTTATAGAACTTGCATTTTAAATCTCAAAATGAATGCCTCTTAAAGACCGCTGTATTGTAAATGAGATACCTACTGACACTTCACTGTTTTGACAATGTTACACTCAGTGTGGGGAGGCATTCATTCACTGTGAGTTTGTTCTTAGAATGGCTGCAGCTCAAACCAGTGAGAGAATCTTGATCTCTGTTGCCATCCACTGCTTTATTTTTCATGAATTTGACAGTAACACCTCTGACCACTTCTCTGTGTGTATTATCCTGCGCTGCATTATCCATCATTGCCACATTATGACCTCTGCTGATATAGACTGAGCAGAGATGACCAGCTGCAACCCACACCCTCCCCCTTTCAGTGTCGCTGAGTCTGTATAGCCTGACAGATCCCAATGAATGTCAAGGGTCATGCTGTTTCAGAACTTCTTCCACCTGCCGGAACAGACAACACTAGACATCTTATCCAAGAATGGCAGTACCAAGTCTCTGAGGCCAGCTGACCCCTTTTCTGTCTGGCTCTGATCTAGATAATAGGAAGCGATTCGATCCACTTCATAGTGTTTTTTGGTTAAAGCCAGATGTGCATCGTCATTGCCAACTCCTACAGCAGTGTCGCTTACTGTTTGATAAACTAGGCGGGACCGAACTGCCCACCCTGACATGTGTGTACACATTTACATTCACCTATACTGTCCTACAGCGTCATAAGCAACAACAACACACACACACACAAAACATGGAGAATGAATTAGAGATTGAAGTTAAAAAGATAGAGAAAACATGGGTTGAGCTGCATGAAAAAGCAAAACTTGACGTCAATTGGTTGAGGACTAATGCTATAGTGGGGAATAAAGTGCACAATAAGAAGACAGCATACTAAGAAAACCTTTGTGTGTTCATAATAGAATACTCTTTCTTCTAGTGTGGGATTCAAGGCTCCAGTTTGGGGGTGGGGGAGGGGGGGGATAAACCCACAGCCCTCTATGAAGCATGTCATAAAAGGCAACTATTTAGGTGTTTGCTGGAATTGGATATGTTGTTGACTTGAAAGGTGCTGATATCTTAGCCTAGATGTAAACCACAACACAACATACTAACTGCCATGTTGATGTCATATGTAGAAAAAAGAAGAAGAAAATGTTTCTTCATGACAGAAGTTAAACAGATGTTAACTAACTCTGTACATTTTGCTTATTTGTTTCCAGACATTTTACAGACAGTGTGTCAAAGACCGCACACCAAAAAGCATAGCAACAACAACAGAATTGACCACGTCTGCTAGCAACTCATCTCATTTTGGAAACATTACTACAATTCCTCTGGTCGATGTGAGGAGGTCAGCAGTTGCCTACAACACCCAAGCTTTGGTGCAGACTGAAGATGATGTTAGTGCTAGCTGTGGTCGTCCAGTCAGCTACATCCCCGACCAAGTGCTGCCCATTTTGTGGAGAATTATTTACTGGACTTCTCAAGTGTTGACCTGGTATGGCTGAAACCTATTCTGATTGTTTATTCTTCTTCTTCTTCTCCTTCTTCTTCTTCTTCTTCTTCTTCTTCTTCTTCTTCTTCTTCTTCTTCTTCTTCTTCTTCTTCTTCTTCTTCTTCTTCTTCTTTAAGAGCTGTAAACTCTGACAGAAAGTTCTGGTTGTTCATCCACCTCTGGACTTTGGATTTGTCCAGAGTATGAGTTTTGTGTGAATATTCATTTTACAGATCTGACTTTGTATGCAGGCTGTTTGTTCTTTGCCTCTCAGGCAGATGCACTCTGACTTCAAAGGAAACCCACAGTCAGTTGACTCTTACGACATGCTTGTTGGGGAGGCAGGGGGTCTATTTCCACAATGGGGCCCTAGAACCCGCTGTGGGTTTTTATTTTGACTTTTATCCCACTTTAATGAAAGAAATAGACCCCCCCCCCCTTCCCCACCACCTCCTTTTTTTTAAAAAAACAGATTGTAAGAGACGACTGATTAGGCGTTTCCTCAAAAGTCAGAGTCTGAGAGAATATTTAAAGGATACTAACTACCCGGGACCTCTGAAGCGGCGTTTGCCATTCTGCTTGAAGCATACCTGTCTTCACCTTACTCAACATGCTCTGTGAATCAGTGACAATCAGGGCATGTGTGTACAGCTGATTCTCAAGCCAGTGGAAGGCAGCAGTGAATGCACCCATCTCCATTCTCAAACTAGACTATCTATAGAGAGAGACTCTTCAGCAGAAATTACAAAATGATAGTCATAGTATGGCAAAACCACATTAAAAATCGTTCACAGGTATTTTCTGTTTTAGTGCCCTATTCATTGTCCATGTTTGGCACTGATAACATAATGTAGGGATAAAGAGAATTGTGTTACAAACCTCTAAGCCACAGAGCCCTTTTAGTTAAACTATTAACTTATTATAGACCAGACTGTTGTTATTTACATTATCCTAGTTGTTATTTTCACTTGTGCTCCAGTTACTGTACTGAAATAAATACTTATGTCAGCAAGATTGCAATTGTTTCAATTCTGTCCACAGGCTAATTATGCCAATGATGCAGTCTTACACAAAGGCAGGCGATTTTACAGTTTTAGGCAAACTGAAGTCATCCTTGATTGAGAACGCAATCTTTTACGGGACATACCTTCTCATTTTTGGCATTTGTCTTATATATGTAGCGGCTCGTCCAGATGTGGATATAGATGGGTAAGACGCAGTACTTCAACTTTTTTTTTTATTTAGCTGTGTGTTTATATGTTAATTATTGCTTATATTGCTTTGGGAGCCACTGTAGCAGATTGGCTAGGACTCTTGTCTGCTGACCCAGTAATCATGTGTTTGAATCCCCTTCTAGGCTGGGATTTGTTCAGTAGCCTAGGCTTTCGGAAAAATTACTAGTGAGTAAAGTTAGCTGGGGTAATATCGACAGCATCACCAAGTGCTTATCATTTTAACTCTGTCGCCCTGAGAAAACCATTTTTCTGGCATTTAAGGGTTTTTGCTGAAATGAAGTCTTTGGGCGGTTGTCACTACACCTGTAAAACAGCTTTGGTACTGGTTACATTTGCGTACTGTGCAGGCATGGTCTGTATGCCTGTATTTGCATGGGTGCGCACACGTACACCCACACACACATACACATTCTTCACACACATACACTTTCTTCAGACATCCACTCACTCTCACACACAGACACAGACACTTGATATATTATTTAGGGAGAAAATGTTTTGAAAATTGTGACATCTTACATCATAATAATCTCACAGTAAAGTCACTTTACTGGAGGTGGCAAAGTCCATCAAACCACCTTTTTCATGATCAAAGGAAAGGAAACCAGCCAATTCTTTCCTCTGTTTATATTAAGTGATTATTTACCTTCACATAAATAATTAATTTCCTGATATTTATTATTAGCCATGTGACTGCCACATTGAAGCAGTGGCCTTTATGTTCTCGTGTTTGCTAGGTAATCTGTGGGTTTGACCTTCATCCCCAAGACTTTTATAACAAAAACTGACCACAACACCAAATTTCTTCTGCTTGTTCCTCGTTTAACCCTAGTTTCTAAGGGTAGTTTCATAGGATATCTTCTTCTTCTTCTTCGCATTCACCATTTGTAAACTCTGGCGGAAAGTTCTAGTTGTTCATCCACTTTTGGACTGCAGTCCTGTTCTAGAGCCTGAGTGTTGCATGTGCATCCGTTTTACAGATCAGACTCATTTATATGCAGACTGTTGGTTTCTTGCCTCTCAGACAGATGCTTTTCTACTTTAAAGGAAGCTCCCAATTAGTCGACTCTTACAACATGCTTTTGGGTATGCAGTGGGTCTATTCTTTTTTTCCCCCTATAATAGGGCCTCAGAATCCACAAACAAGCCAGATGTAAAATGGAAGTGCACGCAAAACTCAAGTCCTGGAACAGGACTAAAATCCAGAGATGGACGAACATCCAGATCTTACTGCTAGAGTTTGCAGCTGGTAAACACGAAGAAGAACAAATTGGAAGAAGATTTTATGCTAGGTTTTTAACTATTAGTTTTTAGTAGCACACGGAGCACTTGAAATAAAAAGCTTTTAAGTAATATATCGATTTACTTATTTAGATAGTAAATGTGATAGTCAGTGAAATACAAAGAATGGTCAGATTTATAAATACATAGTCACAAGTGACAGAATGAAAGGATCAGATTTACAGGAACACAATCACGAGCAGCAGTGAAACTTCAGATTTAGAAGATGCATGATTTTTTTTTTTTTAATTTTTAATTTCTCACATACAATAGTTATACTTTTACTTACGTTAGGGTGCCATGGAAAAATTTTAATTGAAAAATGACGCATCTTTAAGAAAAGTTTGGGAAACAGTGGACTAGACGCTTGCCTATGCCCCGAAGATCAGGGGTTAAACACGCATTGAGTCAGATTTTTTTTTTCAAAATAAATCTTGGCTTCCATTTTATTACAGCCTAAAATGGCTACCAGGTAGTCTCCTGAGACGCGCCTCCTTGGCTTAGAGGTTAGTGTAACAGTTTCACAGTGAAGTCCCCGATGCTTCACATTGGGCTTTCAGACAGGGGTAGGTTTCCCTTGTGGGGGGGGGGTCCAGGGCGCCACTGGAAAGAACAACAAGAATCGACCCACTGCCTCCCCAACAAACATGTAAGAGTTGACTAATTGGGGGCTTCCTTCGAAGTCAGAGTGCATCTGACTGAGAGGCAAGGAACCAGTAGTATGCATACAAAGTCAGATCTATAAAATAGAGGTGAACAACCAGAACTTTCCGCCAGAGTTTAGCTGGTGATCACAATGAAGAAGAAGAAGAAGACAACACGCTTGTTAATTTGGCAGTGGGCCTAATCTGTTTCTAAAACAGGGCTGCGAAACCCCTGACATATATACATTTTACATTGGATTGAATAGTAACTGCTGTTTGTTGACAATTGCAGTGAGAAGTTGAAGATCATTGGTGTCACTGCCAGCAACACCTGGGGGCTGTTTGTGCTGGTGCTGATGCTTGGCTATGGACTTGTAGATGTGCCCAGGTCTCTGTGGAACAAGTCCAAGAAAGGACTCATGCTATCCTCCCTCTATTTCAAGATTGCAAAACTTAGTACTGAAAAGACTGAGGCAGAGGAAGCTTTGGAGGATGCTCTTGAGGTATTTATTGTCTTTTAATGTGTTGTCTTATGTGGTTATTTACTTCAGATACTGGTGTACCAAGGAAACTATTTTGTAGTATGCTACTAGAAAGATTGAAAAAATCCATAGATGAAAGATTAAGGGAAGAACAGGCCGGTTTTAGATCCAAGCGGTCATGCATAGACCACATCTTTACTCTTAGAATAATTGTTGAAGATTCTACAGAATTCCAGTCGAAATTATTGATCAAATTTGTCGACTTTCAAAAAGCCTTCGACAGTATCCATCGTCCAACACTCTGGAAATTGCTTAACATCTATGGTTTCCCCATCAAATATATCAACATCATAAAATCTTTTTATAATAAAACACGATGCTGTGTAAGAACTGATTCCGGCAATTCTGACTGGTTCCCGGTGGAAACAGGAGTGAAGCAAGGCTGTGTCCTATCGCCGATGCTTTTTGGTATAGCAATCGACTGGGTCATGCGCAAGTGCATACATAACGCAAATTTAGGCATTACATGGGTTGACAAAATTCTGGAAGACCTAGACTTCGCCGACGACATAGCACTCCTGAGTTCAGAACACACAGACGCCCAAGAAAAAATCAATCGACTCCAGAAATTCTCAGAACAAATTGGACTCCAAATTAACACAGCAAAAACAAAAATTCTAGACTTTACCAACAGTTCAGTTGATATCACGCTGAACAACAACAGCCTTGAAAAAGTCAACAGTTTCACTTATCTAGGGAGCAAGATGTCATCTACAGGAGATACCGCACCAGAAATACCATTTAGAATAGCACTGGCATCTAGTGCCTTCAATAAACTGTCTAACATCTGGAAATCAAAGACACTTAGCAAACACACAAAACTCAAGATCTTCAATTCTTGTGTGATTCCAGTACTAACCTTTGGATGCGAGAGCTGGAAATCAACGAAAACTCTAGACACAAAATTAGACAGTTTTGAAAATAAATGCCTTAGAAGAATACTAAATTCCAAATAGTCAGATTTCCGAACAAATACACAAATAAGGCAAGAATCCAGGCAAGAGTATGTGTCTAATTTTATACGAAAACGCCGCTGGAACTATGTCGGCCACGCCCTTAGAATGGATAAATCAAGACTTCCTTACCAAGCCCTCATTTGGACACCACAGGGGAAAAGATCTCGTGGAAGACCAAGGGAAACCCTACGTAGAACTATCATCAGGGAAGGCTCGCTCATGGGCCACTCAAACATCCAAGACCTACAACGGATTGCAACGAACCGCCATGCATGGAGAGTCATGACCTCTGCCCTATGTGCCGCACTCGACACAAGAGGAAAGACTAACTAACTGGTGTATGGTCATTTGGGTATGTCATTATTCTTCTTTTTCTGTGTTGGCACCCAAAAGGACAGTTGACACATTGTGTTGTTGTGGTTTATGGCTAGACTGTGATATCTGCACCACATCTGATTTCAGAAAATCCTAAGTTAGTTGCCTTTTTGATGTGCTTTCTATAGAAAGCAATTGATCTGTTGTTACTTCTTCTTCTTCGCATTCACCAGTGTAAACTCTGGCAGAAAATTCTGGTTGTTCACCTTCTTCTGTACTGCAGTCTTGTTCCAGAACCTGACTAATTTGTATGCAGACTGTTGGTTCCTTGCCTTTTAGGCAGATGCATTCCAATTTCTAAGGAAGCTCCCAATTAGTCTGCTTGGGGGTATGCAGTGGGTCTATTCTTGTTTTCCCACCGGGAGATCTGTTCTTATTTCTCCCACTACCTCCCCGACAACCATGTCATAAGAGGTGACTAATCCTTCAAAGTCGGAGTGCATCCGTCTGAGAGTCTGCAATCAAATAAGTAAGATCTGAAGAAAAGATGCACATGCAAAACTCAGGTCCTGGAACAAAGCTGAAGTCCAGAAATAGACAAACAACAAGGTCTTTCCACTGGAGTTTACAGCAAGTGAATGAAAACAAACAACAGTATTCTGCTTCCTGTTAAATGCTGCTTCTATTTGATCTGCTCTACGTTGAACTTTTGTAATATATCTTTGGCAACTATAAACCTCTTTTAACCACAGTAGAGAGATGGAAAATATAATATTATGGGCATGTAGCAAGATCTGCTGGTCTCTCCAAAAAGATACTACACTGCTGCCTAAATTACAAGAGGCAGACCAAGAAAGATCTGGATACAGAATTTGGCTGAATGGACAGACCTCACGCATGCAAGCATCAAGTCTACTGCCTCTGGCCAACATAAGGGGAGGGAGCTAAACAGACAATCAGTGGCAACTAGTGACTCAGTGACATGCACCTGTGTGGGATGAGGATGAATATATCTTCTGCAGTAATCAGGGTACTAAAGTACTCAAATCCTTCGGTACCAAAAGGTTCTAAAGAGTAAAGATCCTCATTTTCTGGGTCAACTGCTTCTTTGGATATTCTATGTATATAGTAAATAAGAGAGGAGATAACACACATTCCTGCCTCACCTCTGTATTGTTTGTAAACATATCAGACATGCCTTCTTATGTTCTCACTACACTTTATGAAGTGTGGTACATAGCCACTATGTTATTTAACAACTGTCCTTGAATCCCATAATATTAAGAATAGCCCATAGATACCAGTACTCACTTCAAAGTGTATAATAGTGTATTGGTGCTCACCATGACTTGTCTTTTTCATCAGTGCTGACACAAATTATGCCTGAAAATGTGCTGGTCCTGTGTGTCATTGCGTATTGTCCAGAAAAACCTGACTGTGATAGAAAAAAAGCAGAAATATGTGCTTTTTTCTGTCACATATAGTGGTTACATTAACTCATTACACTGGGATTGTTAGTTTTACTCTTTCTTCTCCATAGTCTTATTATTTTAACTTCTTTGTATTCGAACATTGGCTAATTTAAACTAGGACTCATGTGGAGTTATGAGTTAGATTATCTTCACAGCACTCCGGACACATCCATAAGCGCTCAGATTCTCCTCTCAACATATTCATCAGCGTCGTGTGGTTAATAGTACCAGTCCTGTGTTGGTTAACAAGACTTTGTGTATGTCCAGTGTGCTTTTCATGCTTGGCTGTGCCGATCTTTACTCCCAATTTGCGTATTCTTAGAAGTGATTTGGACATGTTGCTTCCAGAATCCTCAGAATGTCCTATCTCTCTAAGGGCAGTGACAATGTCTGCGTGATCCATTGGCCGGCCATCTTCAATTAATGCAGTGCCTGCCAGTCTATCAGCTCTCTCATTACCAACAACGCCTGCATACCCTGGGACGAATATGAAACTAACTGCACACACAGGAGAATTTTGCAATGACTCAAGCCACTGTCTGCGTAACTAGCCTGCCTCGACCAGCCTGATCATACTCATGTAGAATGAGTTAAAAGTCATCATAGGCTAATATCAGAGTTAAATGTCTGTGTAAAATTAGTTCATGTGAGACTTGTACTTGTAATCGACAAGCACATGTAACCAATTTCAGGAACTGTTATTCATTGAAATTATGAAACAGGAGATGATATCTCCTGTTTCTGTTTTAATAACCCTCTGTTATCATCTGCTGTTCTCTTGTAACAGGAAACTCGTAGAACTGCGGAGAAAATTCGATACAACCACCCACTCCGAAAACACATGGACACTATACTGGCTAAGGTTAGTGACTGTTTTACATTTGGTTGGTATTAGTAACATGTTTTGTTAAATGTGAACATTTTTGCATGGATCAATATGTTGAGTCCCAAACTAGCTAGGAACCACATTGGCTGAGTAGCTAGTGCACTTGCTTGATGAGCTAATGGTCATAGGTTTAACTCTTTGAGTCCCAAGGAACGCATCATACGTTCATAGGTTCCTACCTAGAAGCCCAATGAACGCATGATGCGCCGATTTTATTACTTTCTTTACTACCCCTTGGGCCTGTGATGCGAAACCCCCTGGGACTCAAAGAGTTAAATTCCAATTGATAAAGTTGTTTTTTTTTTTTTTTTAAATTTCATTGGGCTACCCAGTGGTAAAATGGACACCATGAATTGTTTCCGTACATAAAAGTCATTGACACTTGTCAGTTGGAAATTGGTCTACAGTGATATGAATCCCCAAAGCGGGGAAACGGTCTTTTGTAAAGTAGCTAGAAGAGCAAGTTATTGAATTAATGTTAACGAAGAATACTTCTTCGTGTTCACCGGCTGTAAACTCCAGTGGAAAGTTCTGGTTGTTCATCCTCTTGGGGACATCTCAAAGTAATCTTTTGTTGCTGTGTATTGAACATTTGTATCTTAAATAAATCTTCTATTGTTGTCTGTCATAAATTGTTTTTTAAATGAATTGTTCACTCGACTCTCTCACTCTAAGACATCATTGTCTAAAAGTAAGAAAGAGTTAAAAAAATTATCCCTTTAGAATTGAGTTTACTTGCAGCGAACCATATTTTCAGACAAGACAAACTATGGAACACCATTCAAGTGCACCACACCAAAAGAGACTCATAGCAATACCAATGACTGTTGAAGAAGAAGGGTTTTAAGTAACAATGCATACATAGATTAATATAATATTTTGATAGGACAGAATGAATTATGAGGGAAAAGTTTTTAAATTACCTTAATAGATCTTCAGTCGTGCATACCTCCTCTTTCTGATTGGGCAGTCTTGAAACACATAACCCCTTTTGTCCCAGTCTTCTTCTTCTTCTTCTTCTTTGTTTTACGGCTTGCAATATCTGCAGCTTCGGCCAAACACTTTTGATTTCAACAAACCTCTGATTAATCATCTTTTACAGCATGATTATTAGGGAGGTGGTGGGTCTACCCCCCCCCCCCCTTTCCCCCTTCTGCCAAGCATCCCATATGGGACCCAGGGCCAACACTGGAGCTTTTTTCGACATTAATTTGACCCAAAGTATCTTAAATACTTACATAAGTCATTCTCATATTTGTTCCTCTTCTTAATACTGCAACAGACATCAGACTGACTGTTTTTAAAGACAAGAACAGTCAGTTTGAACTAACTGGCATCTCTGTTGAGTTTTGTCTTTTTTTAAGGCATTGATGTAGCAAACTAGTTTTCTCAATCCTCTATCTGATGGACACATGCAATAAACTTGTAACTATCATTTTACCAGTTCTTTAGTTGCATTAGTTGCATTTATGACTATCTTCTATCTTTTTTCATTAAGTTGAGTTGAGTTGAGTCAAGAATTGACAACAAAGCACTCAGGACATTCCCATGTGTGCTCCGTCCTCATCTTCAGCAGCCAGCGCAGAGTTCCAGTACTGATGGTAGCGGTCACAATCTGGTTATATGTCTGTCTTGCCTTTCCTTTGAGTGTAGTAAGCCGGCCAGTCCCTCTGGTTACACAAAGGTGCCTCATTCTCTCCAGGCCATAATAATCTTCTTTCTCTACTGATTCCGTTGCTTGTTCCCAAAGGGCCTTGACCACATCTGCCTTGTCATGTATCAATTGACCGCCCAGTGGTGCAGATCCAGCCAATCTGTCCACCTGTTCATTACCCACTATGACGGGTACACTAAACTTTTTTTTAAAAATTAAACAAGTGCTATTTGACCTATAATTTGTTTTTACTGTGTTCATAAAATACACAATGTTTTGATAGCTTGGATACTCTAATTCCCATTTGGAACTATAAATTCTTCTTTAATCCTCAAGGTTTGGTTATCGGTTATTCTCAGCTGTATAATATTTTTTTAACTTTAAGTTCCACAGGACATATACATGGTCAAGTATCTGTAGAATAATCTGAACTGGCGATGATTACCTTATTTCATTTACTTGGATTAAATAAAAAATACAACCAGTGTGTCTTTTTCAGTGTCCAGAGAGCACAAGGGAAGCAGTGAGAGGAAAGATGGATGACTTTGAGGATTTCAACCAGTCTCCAGATACTCTGAGTGTGGGATCTCTTGCAAAACTACACAAGAAAGTTATGAGGTATATAACTTTGCACTTTATAGTTCCATATGAAAAATTGCTGATAGTTTCAGAATATTTATATTGACATAAAATATTTAACTAACGACACAAATAGTGTAATGCAAATTGTATTGCCGGACATAAAAATTCAGTAACATGTTGCCTGCATAGAATCAAAGGAATTAAATGGTATGATATGAATCACTATTATAGAACTTTGGGATAGAACTAAATAAACTTCAGTGAATTAAGAGGTGAAGAAAAGATGGCACCGGATAGGACACCCATTGAAAAAAAAAACCTGAGAACAATATAACTATAGTGTCTTTACATTAAAACCCATAAGGGCATAGAAATAAAGGAAGACCAAAAACACAGGAAGCTAGAGAGTGGAGTTTAAAAGATAGAGAGGGCGGGGGGCTAGTTACATACGATAGCAAAGGATAGGATGACTTGCAAAGAGTTGGTTGAAAGCCTATGCTCTGTTGGGGAATAAAGGACAGAAGAAGACTAATCTATTGACTATGACAGAAGTAACAGATTGGCTGTACAGAAGTAACAGATTGACTATGACAAAAGGAACAGATTGACTGTATAGAAGTAACAGATTGACTATGACAGAAGTAACAGTTCGAACTTATAGAAGTAATAGATTGACTGTGACAGAAGTAACAGATTGACTGTATAGAAGTGACAGATTGACTATGACAGAAGTAACAGATTGACTGTATAGAAGTAATAGATTGACTGTGACAGAAGTAACAGATTGACTGTATAGAAGTAACAGATTGACAGGAGTACTCTTTGAAAGCTGTCCTGGTCTGGCTGTCTCTAATAACCCAGCCCTATCCATGGCATGTTTCACTGCGTCTCATCAGGTGTATATTTACATCACTTTCTTTCTGGTTTAGCAGACTAGCTATGTTAGACAAAATAGCCTGGCTACAACAGCAGTAGCAGACAAGTGAATACAGTGGCAGCAGATTGTAGTGATGACAGTGAAAGCAGATTGTAGTGATGACAATGATAGCAGATTGTAGTAATGACAGTGGTAGCAGATTGTAGTAATGACATTGGTAGCAGATTGTAGTGATGACAATGGTAGCAGATTGTAGTGATGACAGTGGTAGCAGATTGTAGTGATGACAGTGGTAGCAGATTTTAGTGATGACAGTGGTAGCAGATTGTAGCGATGACAGTGGTAGCAGATTGTAGCGATGACAGTGGTTGCAGATTGTAGTGATGACAGTGCTAGCAGATTGTAGTAATGACAGTGCTAGCAGATTGTAGTGATGACAGTGGTAGCAGATTGTAGTGATGACAGTGATAGCAGATTGTAGTGGTGACAGTGAAAACAGATTGTAGTGATGACAGTGATAGCAGATTGTAGGGATGACAGTGATAGCAGATTGTAGTAATGACAGTGATAGCAGATTGTAGAAATGACAGTGAAAGTAGATTGTAGTAATGACAGTGATAGGAGATTGTAGTGATGACAGTGATAGCAGATTGTAGTGATGACAGTGATAGCAGATTGTAATGATGACAAAGATAGCAGATTGTAGTGATGAAAGTGATAGCAGACTGTAGCGTTGACAATGCTAGCAGATTAACGTGATGACATTGATAGCAGATTGTAGTGATGACAGTGGTAGCAGATTGTAGTGGTGACAGTGAAAGCAGATTGTAGTGATGACAGTGATAGCAAATTGTAGTAATGACTGTGATAGCAGATTGTAGTGATGACAGTGCTAGCAGATTGTAGTGATGACAAGGATAGCAGATTGTAGTAATGACAGTGCTAGCAGATTAACATGATGACAGTGATAGCAGATTGTAGTGATGACATTGATAGCAGATTGTAGTAATGACAGTGGTAGCAGATTGTAGTGGTGACAGTGAAAGCAGATTGTAGTGATGACAGTGATAGCAGATTGTAGTGATGACTGTGATAGCAGATTGTAGTGATGACAGTGATAGCAGATTGTAGTGATGACAGTGAAAGCAGATTGTAGGGATGACAGTGATAGCAGATTGTAGTAATGACAGTGATAGCAGATTGTAGAAATGACAGTGAAAGTAGATTGTAGTAATGACAGTGATAGGAGATTGTAGTGATGACAGTGATAGCAGATTGTAGTGATGACAGTGATAGCAGATTGTAATGATGACAAAGATAGCAGATTGTAGTGATGAAAGTGATAGCAGATTGTAGCGTTGACAATGCTAGCAGATTAACGTGATGACATTGATAGCAGATTGTAGTGATGACAGTGATAGCAAATTGTAGTAATGACTGTGATAGCAGATTGTAGTGATGACAGTGCTAGCAGATTGTAGTGATGACAAGGATAGCAGATTGTAGTAATGACAGTGCTAGCAGATTAACATGATGACAGTGATAGCAGATTGTAGTGATGACATTGATAGTAGATTGTTGTAATGACAGTGGTAGCAGATTGTAGTGGTGACAGTGAAAGCAGATTGTAGTGATGACTGTGATAGCAGATTGTAGTGATGACAGTGCTAGCAGATTAACGTGATGACATTGATAGCAGATTGTAGTAATGACAGTGCTAGTAGATTAACATGATGACAGTGATAGCAGATTGTAGTGATGACAATGGTAGCAGATTGTAGTAATGACAGTAATAGCAGATTGTAGAGATGACAGTGGTAGGAGATTGTAGTGATGACATGCTAGTAGATTGTAGTGATGACAGCTGTACTATGACATCTGCACTCTTAGCATTCTGTCCAGCAAGTGTGAGAATATCAGTATTATTTACAACTGTCTGTTTTTAGCAGAATATTTTAGCCTAATCAGTCTTTTTTTTTTTTTATTGGTAATAGTTCTTTTTTTTTTTTCTATACCTTTTCTGATTCACTTATTTAAGACTCAGCATCATAACATACCAGATAAATCCATAGATGTTCCATCTCCCACAGCAAATGTCTTCATGTGTAGATGTTGACTGTTCCACTAGTAAACACATCATATACTCTTTCACTCATACATCCTGTCTCAACAATCTACTTCCCAGTCCATACGACCTTACACATATCTCTTCATCTTCTGCAGATTGCATTAATCCTCTTGTGTTTCTTTAATGGAACAGGCGAACTCAAATAAGCCAGCGTACGAACATTCAGTGGGCCAACCTTCTGAGCACCGCCCTGGAGTGGGAGGACATTGAGGCAAACATGCGTAGCACGGATAGAGTATATAGGCATTCGGATCCAGCAATGGGCACTTATTACTTCAAATGGTGGAGGAATATTTATACTCCTTCAATAGGTAAGTTAGGAGAAGAATTCTCGCATGCTATATGGAGCCAGTTTTAACATCTGGCTGTGAATCCTGGACACTTGATAAACAAGCTGAACAATATCTTGAGGCCTCAGAGATGTGGTTTCTCTTTTTCTTCAGCTGTGTTCCTAGCTGTCAGGTATTGCCTCGATGCCTTTTTCTTTTCTCCTATTTTCACTTTGACTTCTTCTGTCCACCAAGGTGTCCTATGTCCCCGCCTTCCACTTGGGACTTTACCACATGCTTCTACTGCAGCTGCTGTGAGGATATTCTTGAATCTGCACCAGAGGGTTTCAGTGTCCTCTGATGGTTCTTCAGTTCCTATTGCTTTCACTATAAGCTCTGGTATCTAGCCTAAACTTCTGGCTCTTTTGGCTGGTATACCTTAATCCTCATCCCTTTTTGGTTGCTTGGAGCAGTGGTCACTTCCCATCTCTGGTCCTCTTATGACTCTGGCGTCTCTCACAAACTTGAAGAAACCTTTCCTTACTATGGCACTGTCGAGGATGGATTTCTTTGAAGGCTCACATCTTATGTATGCATTTATATGTTTGTGGGGGGGGGGTGAGGAAGGAAGGGTTTGTAATGACATGAGACTTTTCCCTGCAGAATCTGAGAAGTCGCTTGCCATTGTCATTCAAAACATCTTCACCATATCTCCTGATTACTCCACCCCATCTAGAGTGATAATTTCCTATGGCATTTAGATCTCCAAGGAGAATCAGTTTGTCGTGACAGTCATATAAGGTCTTTTGGAGCATTTCAAAGAATATGATAGGTAAATAAGTATGATAACAAGTACAGAAACCAGCTCACATCTTTGATGCATCGTCATATAGTGCTGGACCTTAATTTTTATTGACAGTTACCGCTTGATGTGTGATATAGGTTATATCACATGTACCACCTTTACTTCACAACCAGGACCATATTTAGGCATATGGAACCTATGCAGCTGCATAAGGCAGCAACTGTTACTAGTAGTTAACCCTACCAGACCGCCGACCCGCTATTATGGGAAATACCAAACCTGCCTCTAAACCGCTGTCCCTCAATGTCGGGAATTTGCCTACTATGAGAAAACAATGCGTCACAAATTAAAAATAACTAGCCAATTGTAATCAGATCTCGTTGATAGTCTTCTCAGATGTCTGCCTGCATGTGTTTGGATTAAATTTGTGTTGTTTTATGTGAAACAAATTCTGAAAATTCACAATAAAATGAGCGGCTGATGAACCAAGCACTTCAACAGGAAAGTGAAGTAAGTCTAGGCTTTTCACAATCCAACAGGTGATTGATACTTTGGTTGATTCAGACTCTGCGGAGTCAATAATTTCATGAAGAATACGTTCCCAATTGAAGTGACACAGTCAGTGAGAGCTGGAATAATGAGGAGAATCTTGAAAATTATAAATCTAGAAATAGATCAAAAGTAGGAGAAGGGGCGTGTCCCTCAAACAGCAACATCGGATGTTTACTTTGTGAAACAAGGTTGATCCTGCTGGGTGGATTAGCTCACAAAGATGGAATATTGGTGCTAGATAAAAGGTAAACCTATTTTCTACAATGTCTCCAAGTTTTTATCTTATTCTAGCCACTTGTTTGCATGTAACTAATATTTATGTATATCATGTTGGTTTTTTCGCGTTAATGCCCTGGAGCTCAGGTATAGGAGGCAGTTAGGTTCTGGGCCTGAGGTCTGGTGGGGTTAAAGACTCACTAAATTGGAGGTTTCTATAGCGTAATTTTTCTGTACAGTCTGATAAACTCTAGTGGTTATTTCCTGTGTGTTACCATATATTTGTGTCACTATTTTTGTCTTCTTAGTAATTTATACATTTTAAACCTTTGTGTTTATTTGTTTTGTATTCAACTAATTTTAAATATCCCATTACAGTTTAACATTGTTGTAAATAATTTCACAACTTATTGTTGGTTTTCTGTAAATGTACAGGGATTGTGAAGTTAATCTTAGGGTGTGAAATAAATAACAGCACAATGGCAGTGTATATCCTAAAAACTGGCATGTATAACTTTTGCAAACACATTAAATCCTTTTACAAATATCTGACAGAATGGTACTGGAAATGTATGGTTCGACCCTACGTCTACAAGGCTGGTGCTGGTATTTTGACTGTTGTATCTTTCATGGTGGTGTGGTCGGAGTGTTTATTCTTCATCAAGGAGCCAGTTCTATCCCTGTTTGCTGTCTTCATAAACCTGGCCCGAGAAAACTATGACTATGTGTACATTGAGGTAAAATACTGTTTGTGTTTTCTTGCCTTCACTTTATTGAATTTACTTATTGTTTTCTCCTATGTGGTATTGCTGCTTATTGCTTTAATGAAGAGTTGCTGGCTGAGCAGCTAAAAACTCTGAGCTCTCATTTGAGAGACCCAGCTTCAAATTTTTTTTTTTTTTTTTTGGTGGGGGGGTTAAAAATAAAATCTTAAAATGAATTTGGTGGTGACCTCACGAACTGTGTGGCCTGAACTTCTCTGGCTTAAGGCCAAATTGTCCTACGCTACCCCAAAAAAGAAGTTCTTAGTTGCAGTAAAGACAGTGTTTTATATTAACTCTTTGAGTCCCAGGAAACGCATCCTGCGCTAATTTGTTTCAACCGTGCGGCCAAATTGACGCGTGACATATGAAGGTTTTTAATCTACCACTGACCGGTTATTAAAACGGTGGACCGCCCAATTTCAACTTCCTTTAGTTTCTTGTGTCTGATATCAGGCGTGCTCATTTAGAAACGTGGGTTAAAAGCCAAAAATATAGTAAATTTGCGAGATCCGCCTAGTTACTGAGTGTTTGTGAATACCATTTGATTTAACGACTTAAGAAGCTTAAACTTTAAATAAAGTACATATTTTTTTTTTTTTAGATTCGTTCGAAGTTAGGTAGATAAAGTTTTGAAATAGACATGGTTCGGCCATTTATAGAGTCAAAACTTTGATAAGGGATATGTCTAATGTGTACTTCACGCGAAGGGTACAACTATAGCAAAGTCAGCTGGCACAAATAGAATCAACATTAGTGAAAAGATTTTCTTCAGTGTCAGTTAGTTCTATTGCTATTCCCCTTATTATTTAGGAACATAGCTACAAAATTACAGGCAAACTGAGTGTTATATAAACTTTGTTTTGTGTGAAGATACTTATTGTTTTGAGAGTCACTTTTCTTCACCAAAAAATGGTGCTCTGTTATGATGCTTCAAAAGATTCTCTGGAACAAAATCTAACATATAGATTGAGTTTATATTTCACTTATACATTACTAAGAAGGGCTGTACCGAATAGTGATTTTCACTATTCGGCCGAATACGAATAGCTAGACCAACTATTCGGCCGAATATGAATAGAGAATCATCATCATCAGGTGCTTTGACGACTGGCATGGGCGATTATGCCTCGCCCGAATCTGCGATCTCCTGCAGCATGTATTAGTTCATGTGCTGACACACCTCCATGCCATGCAACAAGACTGTCAAGAATCTTCTCTCGTTGTCTTCCTCTATCCCTCTTTCCACAGATCTTTCCAGTGGTCACCACATGTTCCATTTTCCCTCATCTTATAACATGGCCGAAAAATGATGGCTGTCTCCTTCTGATGTCTGTGAGTAGTTGTCTTCGGGCTCCCGCCTCTATCAAAACCTCTTGGTTGCTTTTTTTTGGGCCGTCCAAGGTATTTTAAGCATTGTTCTGTAAAACCACATCTCTGAGGCCTCAAGAAATTGTTTGGCCTGCCTACCGATTGTCCAGGATTTACAGCCATATGTTAAAACTGGATGTATGAAGCAAGCAAGAATTCTTTTTCTAATCTTCAATGACAAGGATATATTGCAGAAGATGTTTTTCATTTTATAAAATGCAGTTTCTGCCTGTAGTGTAATGCATCTTCCATCTGATGTTATCCATGTGCACAGATACTTAAATTTCTGTACTTGTCCCAAAATAAAACCATTGACTTTTATTACACATTTAGGAATAATTATTTTCTTTGATACCACCATTACTTCTGTCTTTCCACAATTCACACTGAAGCCCATTCTCCCACTTTCGTGTATAAATTAGATCTGAAAAAAACACATCCATAATGTCAAATGTAGGCTGAAATTTTACTTCACCAAATGTAAAACAGAATAGTAAACATTTAAAAACATTTCATGTTTTACATCCTTCAGTCAGTCTGAGGTAACTAATACCTAGGAATGAAAGTATTCTTAGTTTTATAACAAGTAACTAAACTTGTAAATTGTCACTGACAGCTTAGTTAATCCATGAAAGCGACATTAGCTTTAAGAAGAAAAAAATTGTTCCATGTTGTCAGCATTAAGGCAGCTTCTTGTCTCACTGAAGGTATTTCTGGCTGTACTAAACAGACGTTCACTTGGTGGTGCACAAAGATAACGCTTGACATTATGAACCAAGGTGGGAAATCTTGATACGTTTATATTCCACCAGTCCAGAAACGGGTGTAAGGTAACCACTATTCGTATTCGGCCCGACCGCAACTATTCGGCCAAATGCCGAATAGTTATTAGGTCCACTATTCGGCCCCGAAGCGAATACGAAGAGAATATTCGGTACAGCCCTATTACTAAGTGGTTCATTTTCATTTGTGATTCATTTTGGATACATTTTAACCAGTTTTTCTTAGGTGCCATTAGCTTATTTACTAATATTTTATTACTTAAGCAATTATTTGTTTTAGCTGTCTTCTTAAATTATTCCTCAGCAATCCCTGGTCACTTTGATGTATTATATTTGTATGCTGTGCGGCAATTGAATTAGTATGGAATGTTTTAATGTGTTTCACTTGTGAAATAAAAAAATTGCATTACCACCCCTTGGGTCTCTGATGCTAAACCCCCTCGGACTCTGAGTTAAAGCTGAAGAAAAAGAACTCTTTTGACCCTTGAGATGTGTTAGGCATTCAGAGCTTGACCAGTATTTGTAGAGAACTAATTGGGGGAAAGAAAAAACCAAAAAGATAAATACAAGGACAGAAAGAGAAAGATCACAACAGCTAGGTCTGAACATCCATAATAAAAAGATAAGGATAATGAGAATAAATCAGGCAAATAGTAATATAGTTTCTTTTAATAGCATTCCCCTTCAAGACATGGAGCCATAACCTTTGTGGGCAGTAATATAGATAAAGAGAGTGAACTGATAGAGATATTAAAGTACAAATATAAAAAGAAAGAGGAGCTTTAATAGAACTTGGGAATTTGTGGTCAAAATAAATTAATATGATGACTAATGACGACTTATGACATGGCATTTAGTATAATGTATTTAATTCTGTTATTCTTTTTATCTCACAGCTGGCATCAATACTGACCATAGCCTACATGTGTTTCTGTGCTTACTCCAGCGTGTTCAAGATCCGAGTTCTCAACCTCTATTATATCTCCCCACACCATCAGACAAACGAGCACAGTCTGATCTTCATAGGCATGTAAGTAGTTTGGCAACACAGGAAAGAAAGAGAGAGAGATGACCCACAACACCAGAGTCTTCTCTTATGTTTCTAGATCTGTTAGCATGTCATGTGGTGTTTGGTAAACGTCTCTGTCTGTGGCTTTCTGTCTTATGGACTGCCAGCCACTTCTGTTCTGGATGTTTTTCCACTGCCTCAATACCAAACTGCCCATCACCCCTTGTCTTGATCTACCTCTACCTTTCCCATCTATCCAGCTTTCCTGTTCTCATAATGTACTTTCCCCATGTGGGTTCCAGGGCCCCATTGTGGGGGGGGGGGGGGGGGGGGAAACAAGAATAGACCTACTGCCTTTCCAACAAGCATATCGTAAGAGGCGACTAATTGGGGAGGAACTTCCTTCGAAGTCGGAGTGCATCTGCCTGAGAGGCAAGGAACCAGCAGTCTGTATATATATAAGCAAGATCTGTAAAATGGATGCACACCCAAAACTCAGATCCTGAACAAAGCTGCAGTCCATAAATGGAGGAACAACCAGGTCTTTCCACCTGAATTTACAGCTGGTGAACATAAACAACAACATAATGTACGCCATTGCGTTCCATTCTGGTGATGTGTCCACAGAATGTGAATTGTTCACTTTTCTTGCAGATATCAACGTAGTAATAAGTAAATAAAGGCCCCTTACATGCCAGTGGCACATCGGGCAACTGAGGCTGTATTTATTTGTATAGTCCAGTCAGCCCTCGTCCTCTGTGTATTCACCTCTCAGAGTGATGTATTTCTCCTGCCTCTTCTTCATTTTCTTGATGCTCTGATTGTAGAAGTTCCATGCTTGGGCCCAGAACCATGTCCATTTCACTGTGGGTGTAACAATCCAACATACTCGAAAGGGCTTGGAATGAGTAACTGCCATCTGTTTCCAAACATGATAAATCCACTTTGTGTAAGTCACTGTTCAATAGACCAGATTTTTTTCTAAGGGATGAGGCAGCCAACCCAAGAACAGTTCCCCCTTAGTGGCCTCTTAAACCCAACCTGGCAGGTTATAGTAGTGTTACTTTACTTTTCTATCCCGAACATCTCAGAATTCCCTGAACAGTGTTCCAGTTATTGAATTTTTTTTTACAGCCGAACGATTGAAGTTATCTTCTTCTACTTTCGTTCGCTTGAAATAGATTATCGATATCTGCAATGTTGTTTCTGGTATGAACATCACTGCCTTTTGTAATTCACTTAGCGAACCTGTTTGGTTTCCAACAATATTTCTGTTAGCCAAAAGTTTTGCCTAAAAAGGTTGTATTTGGGACAGTCCTGGAGGATGCGATCTGTTGTCTCAGGTGCCAGTCCACATGTGTACACAACTGATTTGCCAATCTTAAATGTTTTTGTACAGGTGGCGGCAAAGTCGACTGTGCCCTGTTCTGATACATAGAATAATAACTTGCTCTGGTCTGTGATTTGAGTTGGCTTATCTTCGTGGCACTTGATCACGGTCACAGGTGCTCTGATTCCTCCTCACCATATACATCAGCTTCCCATGATATAGATTGACTTGAACATTGCCACATACTCCAGCAGGATTTGGTCAGCATATCGGTGTTAGTCAATCAAATGTTATATTAATAAACAGTGTATAGATTGGCACTCATAGAAAGAAACAGAAAGATATGACACACTAGACAATGTAAAAAAAATTGTTTATGTTCTCTAGTGTGCCTCTCTCTTTCTATGAGTGCTGATCTATACATTGTCCGTTTATTATATGTCACATTTCTACTGCCTCAATGGTTCCCCATCTGTTTATTTCTGTAACTATTCAAATTAGGAATAAGTTAAGAATATAATATTAGTGTATTCAGGGATTTGATATTGACTCCCAGTCAACCCAGTCAAAGATGGGTGCAGGTAATATTCTGGGAAGTGAAGTCGGACTGATATTGACCACATCATCCATCGAGGGTCAGTTAGTCTATTAAAAGTATGAGTACGGCATCCTGTGCTTGATACACTACTGATTTGGACAGAGTCCTTTACTTTTACTCACTCAGGGCATTCTCACACTTGCTCCATCCCCTTCTTCAGCAGCCAACAAAGAGGTAAAAGAGTTCGCTTGCAATACAACAGTATGCTTAGTACCCACTCATTCCACATCTGTACAATTTTAATATTATATATTAAAGTTAATTTGGACTGGATGAATAGTCATGTGATGATTGTGTCCACTTCAGGATGTTGTGTCGTCTGACTCCTCCCATGTGTCTGAACTTTCTTGGCCTCATACACCTGGACAGCCACATTACACAAGATAAGAAGCTGGAAGAGACATCCTACACAAGGGTACCAATTTTTTAATATATATATTATTGTTTGTCCCTATTTGTGTTTGCATAAATATGTGTGCGTGCAAGAGATAGATTCTTCTTCTTGTGGTCCGTGGCATTGGTAGTCATGTCTATCCACATCCTTCTGTTTGGTGTACTTTCAGTCATTTCTCTGAACAGATGATCTTCAATGCCAGGCTGTCACACTGTCCAGCTTCTTCTCACTTGATCTTCCTCTGCTCCTTTCCACTCTAACTTTCTTACTGACAGGATGTATTCCAGTTTTCTCCTAGTGATGTGACCGAAGAATGTAGATTTGTCTGTGTCTGATGTGGGTGATTAGATCTTTTCATGGATTAATTTCTTTTAGACTGTTTCATTACCTTTCTTCACCCCTCCCCCCCCCCCCTCCCCCCTTTTCCCCAGTCTGTCCAGAGTGCTCTCATTATCCGTCTCTAAAAACACATCTGTGCAATTTTCACATTTTTTTAAAAAATTAATTGGCTTTTAATTACTTCCATTTTCAGGATTGGAAGTATATAAACCTTTATGAATGATTTTTCTCAGTTGAAAAAGACAAATACATAGAATATTTTTCTGGTAAAATACTGCTTGCTTGAGCTTTTCTACATTTAGCTTCTTTAATGCATCTTCCGTCTGTTGTTTCACTGATTGCATCAATTTAATGGTTTCTCTGTGCTATACTGTTAGAACAGTTAACCGTTTCAGTAACTGACTGCACATTGTTGCCTGTCTTTCCTGGTTGCACACTTTTCCTTATTGCACTGACCCAGGAATTATATTGTTCTCTTATTGTCTTATTATCAAATTTTACATTACTCAGTCATTATTACTTTTGGAACACTCATTCCATAGAACAGATTTTTTACTGGCCTCAACAAAACACTCACTTGTGAAAGCAATTAACACATTTTTTTTTTTTTTTTACCAAGGCATTTTAGAAACCTGAAGGGCATTGAAATTGTATTCGAAGATTCAGAAGCTTCACTTCTAATAATTTTATGTTAACAATTAAAACAGTGTTTGTTATGTCTTTCAAAAACCTTATTGTATTTTTACATGTTACTGTGTATTTATTATTTCAGTTGCCTAAAATGTATCATTTATAAAAGAATGTCATGACATGTTCTGTCTGCCTTAAATTATGTTGGAATTGTAAATTTTTTAATGTAAGCAGCAATACGTAATGTTATTACATTGATATTTTCCAGTTTTAGCTTTTGTATTTATAAAGTGTATTGTTTTAAACTATCTCTATCCATTTTTTCTTTCAGATCATGGGCCACATGGATGTTATCTCCATCATATCCAATGGATTTAACATTTACTTCCCCATCCTGATTGTTCTGCTCTGCATTTGCACCTACTTCAGTCTTGGAAGCCGCATCCTCAGTGCCTTGGGCTTTCAGCAGTTCATCGGTGACGATGACATGACCCAGGAACTGATTGATGAAGGGAAGGAGTTGGTGGCAAGAGGTGAGTGCTGCTTGACCCGTCCTGTGTTATAGGCCTTTGGCATTGTCTGTTGGTTTTTCTTCCCCCCCCCCCCCCCCCCCCCCCCAAACTGCTACATTGACTACTATTGCAACTTTAAGAATCGCAACCAAGATGGCAGACTAAAAGGGTCAACTCAGGATACCTCATTCAGCCCCTAAAGACGTTAAAGTAGTTAGGACATCCATAATGTTTACACCAAGCGTGGTCCTAGTTAGTGTATGCCGCATGCCATGTATGAGTGAGGATGTTATGACATATTTTATGATCAAACATGCAAGAAAAGCTGCCGAAGTAACAAGGCAAGATAACATTTAATGTGACAAAAATGTACGCAGATTAAGGCTAAAACCAGTTCTACAATTCATTAAAATTACTGTACATTCTTTTTTTTTTAGGAGTTCACACATTATTAGTCCAATAAAGATCAAAGAAATTCACTGCTTTCAGAAAACAGAAGCACCCGTGCAGTTGTAAATTAGGAAATCATAAGGGCTTGGCAAATCTAAGACCACATGCAAAAATTCATGTTGATCCATACAGGAGTTTTTGAGATATTTGTTAAAGTGTGAGGGCACACTTTTTGGAAAGGACTGTAAGTAGTTAGTCTAATGCTAAACATGCATGATAGGTTACATGAGCAGATATCAGTCCAGATGAGAAGTAGAACTAGGCATCTTCACATTATAACAATCTCACATGACAGATGCCTTCATCAGCATATGGTACAAATGGACAGTGATACAGTTACATACTAAGATATAGATAATCACTTGTCTATTAAGTGAAGGTCTCTCACAGAAATACCCATAAAAGGTAAGGGCAGTAGAAACTCAGACTCACATCTGATTCAGGAAGAAGGTACTGAACTGGAAGAGAAGTAGGAGTGGTGGATTATAGCAAGGGTTGTAACTTTAAAATATTAGGTAAAGTTGTGTTGGACATTAACATCCTTAGGCGAGAGAGAGTCCATTAGACAGGTAGACGACGTTGGATTACAGTATTAATACACTTTGCCTCCCTTATGGACCCGGGCACCTGCATTATCATGTTTGCTTGATGATAAATGAAAATCATCATGTAACACATCTTTTGCAGAGCATCGCAGTCTCCATAAAAAAAAAACTTTGCCACCTCTCCGATCTCCTGCACTTTTATAGCCAGACCTGCATAATAAGTTTTTTGGGATAATAATGTGATAGTTTCCCCTTGCTTTCCACATCAAAATGGTTTAGACTAGGTACACAACTTTTGTCAACCTTTTAGATTGTCAGGGCACGTGAGTGCCGTGTTCTATGATGCTCCTTTTGACAACAGAGGGCACCCCAGAGGTGTCCACTTATCCCCGTGGATACTCGGTCCCCATAGCTTGGCCACACCGCATGTGAGTTTACCATCCTCTACCCCATGGAGGCCTCACTATAAATGACTATTTACCCAAAATAGTACCATGACACTAATGTGATAATTTCTATAAAACTTCTAGTGGTAATATTGTGCAATTCTTATCTGATTAGAAAAGAGGAAGGTGGAGAGGAAAGCTGATGCAGAAGCAAGAAGGAAAACCTGGACCGAAAGATTTGGTGAAGGAGCTGCCATTAATAAAGATCCTGCCAGGCCATCGGAGAGAAGAACCATGTCAGGTAAAGGAAACCTTTGTTAAACAAGTAACCAAAACTTCCTTTCATACAGAGGCAGCAAATGAAATTGTTTGTCCACTTGACAAGAAGTTTGCTGCCATGGTTGTATAGCAGCTAGACATGCACCTGGATCCAGGTCCTGACGAACCAGACTTTTTTTTTCTTTCCCAAAATAACCTTGTCTCTCAGGTCAACCAACCTTAAATGGGACCAGGTGAAGTTTTGGAAGTAAAGGTGGCCAGTGTGGTGCTGACCACATCATCCACCAAGTGCTGATTGGTCTATAAAATATAGGTCTAGCCCTGTGTGCCTGATACGCCTGGAGATGTGCAAAAGGTGTTTTTTTTTAACTTTACTTTTACTCAAAAAAGAATGCCTTGTGATGTCATACTATCATCATCATCAGTTCTCGTTATACCTAGTGGCACATGAGGCTTCAGAGAGGACTTTCCATGCTTTCCTGTCCTGTGCAATCTTCAGTGCAGTTTTCCATGTCAAAGGTGCCGCACTCAGGTCACTTTCCATCGTTTGTCTCCAAGTTGTTTTTGGGCGCCCCTTTTTTCTCTTTCCCTCTGGTATCCATGTGAGAGCTGTTTTGGCTGGTATATCAGGATTCATTCTCATAACATGGCCAAGCCATTTCCATCTTCTCCTGGTTATCATACTGTCTAGAGTTTCTAGGTTTGTGACTTGAAGTAGTTTAGTGTTTAAGATTGTATCTGGCCAGAAAATTTTGATAATTCTACGTAGACATGTGTGGTGGAAGGTGGACAGCTTGTGTACATCCTTTTTGGTCATTCTCCAGCATTCTCCAGATGTCATACTATGCCAGGTATTATACCAAAGGAGGAGAGAGACATGCAACCTGAAGTAGACCAAGATCGAAGTGGAAGTATAGTATCAGAGAAACTACAGCGGTATCCTGTATCAGTCAATGAGGCTGCCAGAAGAGCCAGAATCCTATTCCTCCTTCAACACTTGAAGTGATAAAAAAGGAGGTGAAGAAGAAGAGTTGAGGCGAGAAAGGAAATGTTTCAATCTTCAGTCTTAAGGATTTGTTTTTTAAACCCATTCTGGCCTTAGCAAATGTCACTTTAAACTAATGGAGGTCCCATTATTACTGAAAATATAATAATCCCACAGCCCCTCTCACAAAATGTGTCTAATTAAGGATTTTCTGAAATCGGATGCATTCTGCTGAGTTGAGTTGAGTCAAGTATTGACATCACAGCACTCAGGCATTCCCATGCATGCTCCATCCTCATCTTCAGCAGCCAGTGCAGAGTTCCAATACTGATGGTACCGGTCACAATCTGCTTAAATGTCTGTCTTGCCTTTCCTCTGAGTGTAGTGAGCCGGCCAGACCCTCTTGTTACACCCAGATACCTCATTCTCTCCAGACCATTATAATCTTCTTACTCTACTGATTCCATTGCTTGTTCCCGAAGGGTCTTGACCACATCTGCCTTGTCATGTATCAGTTCACCATCCAGTGGTGCAGATCCAGCCAATTCTGCTGAAAGATGCAGGTATTACATGCTAGCTATGGACCATAAAACAATGTACCAACTGCCATTTAAGGAATGAATGAGGAATGAACACTGTACCGGCTAGTAAAGTAACTGAAGTTAAGTAGGGGACCCTTTTCCACACTTTCAAGCGCATATAGGGCTAGACCTATATTCTATAGCCCAGTTGACACTTAGTGGGTGATGTAACAGCATCTCGCCGTGTACAGACTAGATTAGTGGATAATGACGAATCTCAGACACTAACATGATTGTGTGACATAGGAGTAAAGCATGGTGAAGCACATCTATGCCACCTTTAAGGCCAAGATTGAAGACATTACAATCAGCTGATGGGAACAGTCAGTAGGGATACCTTGAAGTGGCTGCTGCATCGGAGGACTTGGCATGCATGGGAATGTGCAGAGATGTGAAATGTGATAAAATAATGTAAGCGACGACTTTATAACTGACAGGATGAATTTCAGTTTTCTCCTTGTGATGTGACCAAAGAATGTGGATTGATCTCCATCTGATGTAGGTGATTAGATCTCTTCCTGGGTTAATTTCTTTCAGACATCTTCATTACCTTTTTTTTTGGTCCAGTCTGTCCAGAGTGCTCTCATTATCCGTCTCAGAAACCACATCTGTGCAATTTTCACATCATTGTTTTTTAAATTAATTGGCTAACTGTCCATGATTCACTTCCATTTTCAGGATTGGAAGTATAACACCCTCTTAGAATGCTCTTCCTCAGTTGAAAAAGAAAAATACATAGAATATTTAGAATATTTTTCTGGTAAAATACTGCCTGCTTGAGCTTTTCAACATTTAGCTTCTTTAATGCATCCTCCGTCTGCTGTTTCACTGACTGCACCATTTTGATGGTTTCTCTGTGTTCTACTGTTAGAGCAGTTAATCGTTTCAGTAACTGTACTGTTTAACTGACTGCACCATTTTAATGGTTTCTCTGTGTTATACGGTTAGAGCAGTTAACCTTTACAATAGTAACTGTACTGTTGAACTGACTGCACCACAGTGTTGCCTGTCTTTCCTGGTTGCACACTTTCCCTTCGAAAAAGAAGAAAAAGATACTTTTAAAATGTGGCAATATATTGGCTGTGCAAGAGGATATGTTCATCTTTTTGTGTGTGTGTGTATTGTGTATTAAAGGTGTTATTAAGATTGGTTATGATTTTTATCATTGTCCAGATCGCTACACCATCCCTCGCAGCCCTGATGAGGATGATCGCTCAGAACTGCTGCGTCAGGTTGAGCCTGTCGACTACAGGGATGATCATGACGACAGCTTTGCTGGATCGCAGATCTACGGAGGCAGAGCAGCTGAGAGTGAAAATGGTGGCTACCAGTCGCGATCATCCTGGGCTGGTGGACGTACTGGCAGACCTCCAAAAGGAATATTTGACGACATATGATTTCATCAGATCTTAGCACAGGATTATTTATTGTATCGTAATGTTTCATTATAAGCTGATACATCATTTTCTTTACTAATATATTTACATGTTTGTAACTATGGGTACTGAAATAGAAAACTGATGGATTGAGGAAACAAGGAAGTTCCAGAGGAACCCTGAGATGAAGGTTGTTGAAAGAGGCTAAAGACGCTAGACTGAATTCATTGATGATATCAAAAGGGTTGCATAGGATGGAACAGGATAGAGCAGTGTTCTTCAGCCTGTGGCTGTGGGCCCCCAAAAAGTCAAGGTTGGTTGCCAAAAAAATGCCAGACATTAAATGCAATCATTGTCTAAGTTTTGGTTATCTAACTTTTGGATATTACTGTAAAAAAAGAATATCCTTCTCTGATTTTAAGTGCTATCATATTGTTAGCCATTTTCTCGACTTACTGTGTGAGTGAAAAGACTTTCTCAGTCATTTTAGAAATAAAATCTAATCAGAGAAATTGAATGGATATTATTGCAATGCCTTGTCTCTCAGAGACTAGTTCCAGCCCCCAGATTTTCTAACCTGTATGCACTCTGCATCTGGTTGTGTTTCTATGGTTGCCAGGTGGCCCATGAAACAATTTCCCCTCTTTTGATAGGCCAGGGGTTTAACACTTTCCTGACCAAATTCAACATTCCAAAGACAGATGGCTACAGCTAGAGCTTTAACTGCAGTTCATGAAGGAAGTAGCTCAAGCATTCGCAAATACTCTACACAAATACTGTAGCATGCCAAATAAACACCATAAACTTAAAAAATTTCACTTCATTCCCATTTGTATTTGCTTTTAATGTTTAATATTTGGTCAGTCATTTAAAAAAAAGTGTTCTTTTTGAGCTTATTTTATTCATCCCCAACCATGTCCCCAATATTTTATTGCAGCGACTGTACAAATTGTGAACATTGAAACAAATTATGGTTTTGAAACATCTCCTGAAATTTCTATAAATAAAAGATGGCCCTCATGATCTTGTGGTATATTTGCATAATTTATCTTATCTTCCTGCGTAGCAACCAATCGTAATGGTGCTCTGAAGGTTTCAAAACCCTACACTTGTTTTTTAATATTTTAATGAATTTTTTTAGAAAACCAGTCTCATTTTTAAAAAAAAATCTCTAAACACCCGTGTTAATGGAAGACAGTAATGCACAAGATGGTTGCTGATCAGTAGAGTGTTAGAAAGGTTGGGGACGATTGGAATCCAGGACTAGTTCTTTGTGACTTATAACTGCACAGCAGGATGGTGATGAACTGAGTGATAAGGTCCCTTTTCCCCGCCTTTAGGCATATTGGGCTAGATCTATATTTTTATAGACCAATCGCCACAAGATGGGTGATGTGATCAGCATCAAACCAGCCACCTTTACTTCCCGGGGCTGCACCCGGTACCCACTCAAGGCTGGGTCAACCTGGGAGTCAATGTCATTTTTTTTTTAAATCCAACTCCACCAGGGAGCGAACCCACGACCTTCCGATCAATTTGGATGATAGTCAAATAAAAACTGTCCCACAGCTGACACCGCCATTTGGATATGAAATATTAGGCTTTCACATATTGTTGGCTGAGTTAGAGTTGAGAGGACTGACTTCATTGAACCTGGTTTGATCCCATATGGCTCAGTCTCTCTCTGCAGAATGGCTGGCCACCTGCTGAGAGCATCGCACAGAGCATGAACTACTTAGCTTTGACAATGATCCCCAGGGATCTCCGTAAAAATTGCACTCGTGAACTGAATGATGCAGCCGTGAAACAAGTGCTTCCTCGCGTCGGTGAACTGGCTTGTTCCACGGGAGCTGGGTGTCATGGCGGCTTGGAAGTTTTTGATTGGCTGCTGGCTTGTCATGTTACGGGTTGATCAGTACTTGCGGTGACGTCGGTCTGGCGTACCCTGACTCCTTTGTTTCCATTTTGACTGGGCCACCTGTTTTTGGGCTGCTTCTATCTCGTCATGAAGTCCGTTAATTTTTGTGTAGAAGGCCTTCTTTATCTCGGCAGGCAGAGAATCATCTTTCACCCGCTCCTCTTCATCAAAAACGATGACGTAGCGGTGCCTCTCGAGCTCAATTCTGTGCTGGTGTATCTGGTCGTTGATACCTTGTACCATTTTTAGGAGGTCGGCCTCGCTTCTCACTTCGCCGATTGCCTCTTCTTTGCCGTCTTCGAGGGTTGTGGCCACATCTGCGGCTGGGGTCGTCTCTTTGACATCGGGTATGGTTACTCCATCTGACTGGGTTGTGTTTTCCTCGATGTTTGTCTCTGTATATTTGTCGGCCCTGCTGATGTTTGGTTTTGCGGCTGGTGCCTTGCTTATCTCTACGAGCAGGAGTTCTCGCTCTTGCTTTGCTTCTCGTGTAGCGGCTTCTGCTTCTGCTGTTGTCTTGACTAGCAGGGCGACTTCTCAGTGTGGATTCTCTGGCTTCGTTTAGTAAGGCTGTCTCTGCCTTTCTTTCTTCTCGCTTGGCTTGTCGGTAGGCTGCTGCCTGGTCCTGATCTGTCTTCAGCTGTGTCAGAAGGCCTTAGAGTTTTTTGTTTGCTTCATTGACTTCTGCTAGCAGCTTGGTGTGTTGCGCAGCTTCTGCTATTCTGTCTCGCTTCTGGGCTTTGATTTCGTCGAGTGTTTGGGAGATTAGTCCCAGCATCTCGAGTCTTTCAGCGGTGGCTTTCTCTTTGTCTGCTGTCAGCTTCTGGACTGCGACTTTGAGTGCTCTCACTTCCTGGGTTGTCGCGTTGTTGTTTGCGACTGGAATCACCTTCTCTGCTCTTCTCTCACTTCTTGGTATTTCTGCTTGCTGCTTGCACTTTTTAAGGTAGGTGCAGCCCAGGTATCTGGCGCTGTGGGGCCCTCCACAGTTTGAGCATCGTCTGCTACTGTTGGGCTTTTTAAAGTCAGGGTCCACCTTGGCAAGTGGGCACTCCTTAAAGTCGTGCGGCTTGGAGCAGTAGCGGCATGCTGGGCTGCTGCGGCAGTTTGCGGCTGTGTGCCACACCTTGTTACAACGTGAGCACTGGATGATATTGTCACTGCTGTGGGCTCCAAGCTGCTGTCTTCGTAGGCGGGTGCCGGTAGGTCCCTGCGCCTCGACTGGGGCTGCTTTAGATGGTGGCTCCACGATAGGGGGGAGGCTTCTGGTGCTGGCGCCACGATGGGGACGGCTTCAGTTGCTGGCATAGGTGAGCGAGGCGCCGTGATAGGGGCGCCTGCCTGTGGTGCTGGTTGAGACGCTGCGGATATGGCCATCCTCTTCTTTGGTGTAGGTGCGGCTTGCTGTTTTTTTCCCATGATGGAAAAAACAATGCTGGTTAATTGCGGTCTATCACGAAAGCTCGATCCCTGCAGAGTCAACAAGGCTTGATGAGTGCTCTGAAAAGGGCACCAAGCGTGTTTTCTCTGCAGTTCATGAGACAATCGTGAGACCCTAACGTATATTCTATGGTATAACATATGAGGCAGGGTGGTCACTTCTCTTTTTGATCGTTTTCCTTTCAAGACAATTCTGGAAATAATCTGGCTTATATTTTTTTTTAATCAGGCTAAGCTTAATTTGAGATGTACTTGTCAAATAAAATCCTGCCTTTTCTGGGGATTTCACCCAAATCTCTGACTTGGCAGAGAGCCATGCTAGCGTAGCAGCTATACAGTTGCCTGCCAGACCGAAAGTCTTGGGTTCAAAACTGCATTGAAATTAGATTTTTGTTGAACAAAATTACTTTGCCTGCCTGGTCAACCCAGCCTAAAATGAGTACCAGGTAAAGTAAAGATGGCTGCTATAATGTTGACCACATAACTATAATTGTCGATTGATCTGTAACAGTATGAGTCTTTCATCAAAGGTCACTTGTGCTAATGGCAAAAACAAAAGTCAATATTTTTCTTTAAAACTGTCTTGACAGGTCGTATGTTCTAGGTCACCACATAATAGACAGAGGTGGTCAACTTCCTTCATAATGGTTAGACCAGTTCCTTTGAGATGGGTTGACTAGTTCCCATTTAAAGTGGATTGACTAATTCTCTGTGCGTGGTGTTGGCTAGTTCCCTTTGAAATGGGTTGGCCAGTCTCCTTTAGAGTGGGTTAAATATTTCCTATTAATTTTGGTTGAACAGTTCTTTCTCTTTGTGTGGGGTTGGCTAACTTCCTTTAAGGTGGGTTGCCTAGTTCCCTTTGTGTTTAGTTGCCTAGTTCACTTTGAGATGGATTGGCTAGTTCCCTTTGAATTGGGATGGCTAGTTTGAATTGGGTTAGCTAGTTCCTTTTGAGTTGAGTTGGTTAATTTTCTTTGAGTTGAGTTGGCTTGTTCTCTTTGAGTTGATTTAGCTCGTTCTCTTCAAGATGGGTTGATCAGTTCCCTTTAAGATGGGTTGACCAGCTTCCTTTGATGTGGGTTAATTAGGTGGGTTGGCTAGTTCTCTTTAAGGCAGGTCATGTTAAAGATGGGTTGCCTGTTCCCTTTGGTGATAGTAAACATAGCTGTTTTGTGTGTTGTGGAAAAGTGTTGTGTAAATTCATTTTCTTAAGCTCCTTTGACTTGCACCATTTACATAATTACTTTTATTGTGTACTTTAGCATCATGTAGAACATTCCTACTGCACATCTGGGTTGTTCCATTTTTTTCGGGTTTGTTTGTTTAAATGATTGTCAAATGTACACATATAAGATCTCAACATTGATTTTTACATGAATGTTCTGTCGTTTTACTTTCTGTTATTTGCAGGATGCATTAATTCTTTCAGTACCAAGCAACTCAAGGTGAGTTTACTGGTGACTGTTAACACAGTATGCTGGGATGTTAGTCTATTCTATCCCAATATTTAGTTGATCTTGTGTGTTATCTCTACATTTGAGGATGGCTGCAGTGGGTATGTACATCCATTGCTGTCAGTGAGAATATTACACGATGAGACCCAAATCTCTTCCTCAATGTAACTCTCATACCACTGTCAGAAAACTACAAAAAAAATGTTATG